GATCAAAAAATTTCTATCTGTGACATGGCACCAGAGTTAAGTTAGGGTTTTTCAAAATGCTGACACGCCGAGCTCAGAAGGTTCGCCATCACTGTCCTAACCCGTCTCCACGATCCAGCAGCCCGGCCTTCATCCCAGGGACCACTTGCCGGGCCGTCCACTCCAGGTGCATGTTGTCTCCTTGTCCCGGACGTCACACATGTGTCCTCGGCCCCACGCCTGCTTTGAACCCAGTTCTGACGTGTGGAAGGCCTGGGGCCCACTTTCCTGATTTTGTACTTTTGATATTTACCTTCTCCGAGTGCAGCCTGGAGCTCACCGCTGTCTGAACCGCCCACTGACCTTCTTTGGCATTTAGACAGGTAACAGCACACAGCTACGGTTCATCTGCAAACCCTATCTCCAGCAAAATACGACTCAGTTAGTCAGGTTAGGGACCGGATTTCTCTCTGTGGTTGACAAAATGAAGCTTTGCTTTTGGAAATAAACATCACCGTTTTTTGTTTGTTTTTAATCCTCATTTTTCCATGGATTTCTAGAGAGAGTGGAAGGGAAAGGGAGAGACAGAGAGAGAGAAACATTGATGTGAGAGAGACACATCAATTGGTTGCCTGCCAACCAGAGCCTGGTATTGAGCATGCAACCAAGGTGCGTGCCCTCGACCTGAATCAAACCCGGGACTTCTTCAGTCCGCAGGCCGACACTCCGCCCACTGAGCAAAACCGGCTAAGGCCATCATCATTTTTTTTTAACCAAACCACACATTTAACAGAGTGTACATATCTACATAACTACGTTATAAATTGCTGGACATTTTAACTCTAATGTCGTTGTAACATGAATCACAGATATTCTTACTTCAAGCCCATACTTTTGCCATAAATTAAAATGCTCTCAAACCACCCTTCTAGTCTTTAGGATTCAGAATACTTTCATACAAGTGCTTGAATGCACTTCTTTACCTTATGTCAGTAAGAACACTTCCATATACGTTTTGGTACCAAAAAGATACAGAAATCTTAAAAAGCTAAATATTTAGAAACTGAGGTGCCTCGTTATAAAACCGTACTGGTAATTATACAGGAGAGCGTTCTGTGTAACAGGAAGGCTTCATATCTGTCACCCAGTGTTTCAGTGCCTCTAGTACGCATTAGCCAACTTGTTCTATTGTTACCGTTCCACAAGCACCTGCCATTCTTGAGGCTGACTGACGTTTCAGAATAAAGCACACTCATTACACGTCGCCAGCTTCAGAGGAGCAAGCTCATAACCCACAGTGCTTTTTGAGAAGTGATGATACCTTATATTTCTGGAACTAATCACTGCTAAAGAAAGTAAAAGGATGAAAACATAATTTTTTTTCCCCTGTGAAGACCTTTCGCGGCATTGTGTGCCATTCAGCTATAACATGATTACAGTGTTTGTCTGCCAAGAATGACAGTGGTGAGAAGTAACTTCCTCTGTGTGTGGAGAGGTGTGTGCATACCTGTCTCCCTCTAGATGCCATTGCCCATATCATTTCCCTATTTTAGCCTGACTCGCCTACCATGAAAAGACGTGGAGGAAGAAGGAGAATAGAAAATAAGGCTTGAGACCTGTGTTGAGTTTTAAGGTCAGCAGAGAGGAAAGGTGTTCATATAATGGTTTCATGATTGCACTGCTTCTCGCAAGCCCCACCCTTTGAAGTTCTTGCCTCGTTATTCCACCTGGACTCCTCGCGCTGACCTGTCTCGATCGCGCCACCTCAGCTCACCTGCTGGCCTCGAGCCCCTCCCCCACCTTGATGGAATACTTCGGTCCTGGGTTCACTGGTCTTCCCATCGCTCCAAATTCTGTCATTATTATTAAGAGACAGTAATTATAAGAGTGCTTAGCGTTCTACCTCACACACAGTGAGGTCAAGACATTCCACCTTCATCATCATCACAAAATGAGAATCCATGTTGCTATGTACCCATCAATTTCTAAAGCTAATTTAAAAACGATGCCACTGATATTTATGTAACACTTTTACTGTTTCAAAGCATTTTCAGAATTTCATTTTATTCGTACAACAACTGTATGAGACAGGCATTGTTAGCTTTATTTCCAGAATGATTAAGATTGAGCTCGAGGGTGCTGTGAAGAGACGAAAGCAGACATTGATACCAAGGTTTTAGGACCCCAAAGTCCCTCCATGGTTTTTTGCAGTTGGACAACATTGTAGCAAAGCTTTCCATTCGTCAGCACTGCCACACCCCTTTTAGCTCTCGGCTACTAGACATGAATACATTTCACAGAACCCCAATTACACAGCACACTGTGCATGGCAAACAAAACTCTAAAGAATGGGCTATATTCCACATTCTTCAGTAGCTCACAGGTTTTCCATCTCGATAACCTCAGCTACCCAAATCCAAATTTATTATTCTCTACACACCTTAAAAGTATATGGTTAATGACGTGGACGCTCCTCCTTGGGAACATTGCGTGTCCGTGTTGTGTACTCTCGCAGCATCTTCCCTTGCAGGGTGTTGTGTTCAAAGTCTGTTTTCCATGTGTCACAATGCCCTCCGCCTCCTGACTTCTCCCTACAGATGTTTGGCCTGAAGATTGTCAGAGGGGTTGGTTGGTGCTGTGGACCGAATGCTTATGAACTCCCTGAAGTCATAGGTTGAAAGCCTAACCCCCATGGTGATGGTATTAGGAGCTGCGGCCTTGGGGAGGTGATCAGGTCATGAGGATGGGGCCCTGGTGCATGGAATCAGTGCCCTTATGCCAGACCCCAGAGAGCATTTCCCAATATGAAGCCTGTGACTCCTGGGTTTGCTTAAACATGGAAACAGTTACCAGCAATGTTACTAGGAGGTCCTGGGACAACCTGGCGGAAATCACTCAGTCACTGTCAGTTACTCTTATGATAACCGTAGACGTCCACACTTCCGTAGGAGAATAAAATCCTAACAGGCGAAACAAAGAATGTGTCATCCACCGTCATCACCAAAGAGTCTGGGTTACATCAGCCTCTTCTGGTGAGTGGAGACGTGAAAAAGACATGCGTTTTCTTTGTGGAACTACCCCCACACAGCCCATTTCCTTCACCGTCTGACGCTCAGGCGGGCCCCGACGCCCCGCAGTCATTAAGGACAAAGGCGATGTCTCGACGAGGCCCAGGCAGGTGTCACTGATGGTGAGCTGGCCACAGGCGCGGCGCTTGGGCCGGAATGGAAACATCGGCTCCCCCATCAGCTTTGTGACCAAGAGCTCCAGCATCAGAGCTTTCATTTCAGCCTCGGTGTCTGGGCCTCTTGACACGCTCTCAGCAAAGGACAGCTTTCCCCGTGGGGTGGATCTTCCGAGGGAGGACGTGTGGAAATAAATGGCTTATGACATGCCGAGTGTTGAAATGAATGTGGCTCTTAACACTCCCTAAGTCATGAGCCGTTTATTTCAACACTTTTTCCCTTGAAGTGTTTAAATAATAGATTTTACACCGAGCTGTGTCCTCCACTCTGCTTAAAGTGGAAGGGACTGTGTAAACATGCCCATCGGCCTCCTCTGGGTTCTACACCCTTTGCCTGCCACGCAGCCCGGTCGCCATCGTTTCTGAAGAAACCTGACATTAAATTCCCTGCTCTGTCTTTCTTACGTGGTCGGTGACTTGGTGATGGCTACGGCGATTGGACATCACCCCATTAATGGAGAAATGGTTGCGTACAGCTTTTTTTCAGGCACCTGACGTGTCAGCACAGACTAGAACAGCTTTTACTAAAAAACGACTCGTCCTTTTGTTTGTGGGACTGATAGCAGCTGGCTTGCGGGGTTACTTTGAGCGCCTTGATGCATATGTAACCTAGTGCAGGCCTTGGCCATGCGTGTGTGGACAGAGGTACGACAGACACATACTGACCCTCTCACGGAGGCGATGCGGGGAGCAGGGCTGCTGTGCAGTCACAGGTGGAGGTGGAAGCTAGGTCTTCCTTTTACCCACCCAAGGGCAGGACGAGGCACCCTTCTGAGCATTAAAAGCAGTGGCTCCCGGGATCTTAGCAGATTTGAGGGAAATCGCATGTAAGAGCCAATAGAGGCCTCTGGACGTGTTAGGCAGTTCAGTCAAAGGCCACTATTATTACCGCCGCTCACAGCAGGAAATGGCAATTAATAGAAACTGTCAGTGCTTTGTTTTTTTAAAACAAATATTTCTAGTGTTCGCAAGTTTGTCTCTTTGTTTTTGCTAAATAATACGGACAAACTGCTGTTTTATTATAGGAGCAGTGAGAATCCAAATGTTGTATAAAGGATTAATAACCTTGTTTTAGAATGTCTTTGAATTTCTGGAAAAGTTAAGAAGATAGTACAGAGACTTTCCATAGACCCCCCCCTCACCCTATTCTTTTTATTTTTTATTATAAAGGGAATTTTCATTGAAGAACTTACCAGCGAAATGTTTTGTGCCAAAGCCTGTATTTTGGACGCTAACAAAGTGCTGTGAAATGAATGGAAAAAATCCTTGTGAGAGAATTGAGAGAGAAGCCCCAAGGAGGGGTGTGGCCAGAGGGGCGTGGTCAGGAGGGGCGTGGTCAGGAGGGGCGTGGTTTGGAAGGAAACCACAGTTCTGATGGAGACGCCTTACTTTCCTGTATATACAACAGCTCCCTGGCCCATCTAGATCCCGCCAGATAGCTCATTAAGAGGTGGAGGGTAAATGTTTGCTTGGGCTTCCCGGTACTAGGGAATCTTTTAAGGAATCATTAAAACCTGAGTCATGAGGATGCCCCAGAAAGAACACAAATACGAGCACTCGTTTCCCGTTTGACATTTCCCAATGTCTGCAAACGCTATTGACGTCTAATTCTGAATGATCTCACTTGTGCACTCCACGCCTGGTGGAGTCGCCACACGGCTGTTTGTACGGGCTAGTGATTATTGATTGCGACATTCTATTCCCCATAAACGGGCCACTGTGAGTCGTTAAACTTGTCAGCATTCTGTTTGCCCACAGTGTCTGGCGTGCGTGCCCTCTCTAGCAGTCACAGATGTTTCCCTGGCTCACTCTGTGCTGGATCTGGGACATACATCATTTCCCCCCGAAACTTTTCAATACTTGGCCACTTTTAAGTTGCAGATTTCAGGAGCTGCCCCATAACCACCGAGCAGGTAGGAAGAAGGCCTGTGGGAGTCGTGTGGTGGCATTTCGGGGCTCACAAATAAATGACCTCGGGAAGGCAGGCAGACCTGCTTCCAGCAGCTTACTGCTGTGAGCATGCCAGTCTCACCCTTGGTTCTGTCGCCGAGGATGAAACAAACGTTAGTGTTAGGGAAAGGGGCACCTCGAGACTGCTGGCCCCACCTACACTCAGGGCAGATACACCTGAAAAGATGGGGGAGACTGTGTGGTCTATTGTGACCTCTGTCAGCACAGCTACAAGGAGCCCTTGAGCTCCGTTGAGAAAACCATGTATAGCCGTTTGGACAAAGGCTACCCAAACCGCCTCTCCTGCGGGGCCCGGGCGCCGCGCTCCAGCCGGGCTCCCGACGTGGGTTTTGCACGTCTGCGCCGCCCGGTGCCCGGTGCCCGATTCCGAAGGCCCCGCGCTGTGTGGAATCAGCATGCACAGGGCCAGCACGGGGATGATGAAGCGGTTATGGCAGCAAAGTGAGTGGAATGAGCAGCTGCGAATGAGGAACAACGTATGCGTGACGTTTCGGCTTAGATGTGCGCGTTCGACATGGACTGCACATCCTTTCCCACCGAGTCGGTCCTGCGAACCGGCCGCCTCCTTTCGTGCCACAGGCATCAGCCCAGGGCCCGTGGGCAAGGAGCTGTTGAATCGTGCAGGCTGGCACGCAGCCCGCCCAGCCGGAGCATCCGTGCCAACCCCCAAAGGAAGGCCCTCCTCTTGACCAGAGCCCGGAGTCTCATCAGAGGCATCAGCGACCGGGGAGCGGCCAGTCCAGAGTGGCTGCTTCACCCAAGCCCACCCTGGACCTGCCCGGCGCCATCGGCCGAGCGTCCTTCAAGGGTTCAGCGGGAAGATGCGTTCACGGTGACGCGGCTTCCGTGGGAACAGCACCCGGAGTGCCGGCGCTCGGGTTCTGGAGAGAGAAACACTCAGATAGCACTGGGCTCAGCGTGCACAGACAGACCCTCGCGATCTGTTCACAGCATTTGTCAGCAGGCGGTGACAGCTTTGAAGTTTGGCTCTGGGTCTCGCTGAGTCAAAAAAAAATCAGCCCGGCGGAGCCTGCGGGGTTGTGACTCAGACCTAGTCCCTGTCTGTCTTTTTTTATAATATTTTTATAGATTTTGGAAAGAGAGGGAGAGAGATGCAAACATCAGTGATGAGAGAGAATCATGGACCGGCTGCCTCCTGCACGCTCCACACTGGGGATCGAGCCCGCAATCCGGGCCTGTGCCCTGACCGGGCATTGAACCCTGACCCCCTGGTTCATAGGTGGATGTGCAGCCACTGAGCCATGCCGGCCAGGCCTACTCCCTGTCTTTATATTTGCGTCATTCTTGGACTCCATGTGCCCGAAGTCTTATCCGTCAGGGATGGGTTTATGGCACCTCGTGTGTGTGTGTGTGTGTGTGTGTGTGTGTGTACATGACCTATGTGGCTCTGGAAACACATGGCCTCCAAGAAATTTTCTCAAGATTGCAAACCTGGAAGAGACGGACACACCGAAGACCTGCCCTGAGGGTCCTCGGCTCCCCCAGGTTTCCTTCTTGGCGGACTTCTGTCCCCTCCGCCTTGAAAACAGAAGATCCACTGTCCCGCAGGTTTTGTTTCTGTCCACAAATGGGAAGGTGCACGCCGATGTTATAAGTGTGTGTGTTGTGTGTGTGTGTGTGTGTGTGTGTGTGTACATGACCTATGTGGCTCTGGAAACACATGGCCTCCAAGAAATTTTCTCAAGATTGCAAACCTGGAAGAGACGGACACACCGAAGACCTGCCCTGAGGGTCCTCGGCTCCCCCAGGTTTCCTTCTTGGCGGACTTCTGTCCCCTCCGCCTTGAAAACAGAAGATCCACTGTCCCGCAGGTTTTGTTTCTGTCCACAAATGGGAAGGTGCACGCCGATGTTATAAACAAAGCCTTTCAATGGTCTGACAGCGGAAGGCATCTAGCAGGCGGATCCAGATGGGAGAGGCTCGCTTTTCTTTCTTAATCCTCACAGGTGGATATGTTTTTGTTGAGAGAGAGAGAGAGAGAGAGAGAGAGAGAGAGAGAGAGAGAAACATAGATCTGTTTCCTTCCGTATGGGCCCTGACCAGGGATCGAACCTGCAACCTAGGGTTGTGCCCTGATGGGGAATGGGATCTGAACCCTTTTGGTGAGCACACAGTACAGTGTACAGATGATGTGTTGTAGGACTTTGCACCAGAAACCTGCATAGTTTTGTTAACCAACGTCACCCCACTATTTTTAAGAAAAAGGAAAAGGTGCTAATTTTTTCAATGACCATCTGCATTGCAGGTATCAGTATACAAGTCTGTTTTACTGCTGACAGTTTTCATTAATTAACTGACCGCATTTCTTCCGATTGTTTGTTATTAGTGTATAGGCACACAACAGATTTCTACGTATTAATTTTGTGTGCTGCTGCTTCACTGAATTTTTTCTATTAATTTCTGGTGGGTTCTTTAGGGTTGTCTATATATATAGTATCAGGTCACCTAAACACAGTGACAGTCACTTCTTCCTTTCGTATTGGGTGCTTTTATTTCAGAGAAAGACAAATACCAGAGGGTTTTACTTAGATGTGGAACCTAAAAAAACAAACAAAACTCAGAGAGCACTCAGAGACCGAACGGGTGGTTAGCAGCAGGGAGAGGAGAGCTTGGGAGCAGGAAGGGCGAAAAAGGCGAGAGAGGAATATGGTCAATCATATTGTGATGAGTTTACATGGTGACAGGTTATAAGGTATAGAAGGTCAGTCACTGTACGGTAAACCTGAAACTGGTATAACCAATGTAAGATTGCATACCAACTACACTTAAAAAATAAACAAAATATTCAGTAAAAAAATAAATTGACCACAATTTGTTTATCCAGTCTCTCATTGACGGACATGGCCTTGGGTAGTTTCTGACTTGGGGTTATTATAAATACGGTCGTTGTGGACATTCTTGCACATACACGTCTGTCGTCTTATTTTTGTTTCTCTAGGAGGAAGGTCTGGGAATGAAATTGCTGAGTCGTGGCATAGGTGTATGTTTAATTTTTAGAGAAATATTCAGTTATCCAAAGTGATTTCATCGTACGCTCCTACCCGCACCGTAGGAGATTCCTACTTCACAGTCTTCTCAGGCTTCGGTGTCGGGGGCCTCTTGATTTTTAGCTGTTTTCTAACGCGGTGAGCTGTGTCCTGTGGTAGAACATTTTTCGTGTACCAACTGCCTGTTCGTATGTCTCTTCTTTCTTGAAATGTCTGTGCAACGTTTGCCCATCTTAATTGAGTTATTCATCTTTAATCGTTGCTTTAGAGGAGTGCTTAATACCTTTGAGTAAGAGTTCTTTGTCAAATAGATGTGTGTAAATATAATGTTTTTTCTGTACTTTAGCTTCTTTATTTTTTGACTAAACTCAGTTCATCGGTTTTTTTAATGTACTTATTTGCTCTTACTGTCCTTGCGGAGAACTCTTTGCCTGACTCAAGGTGACAGGACTTGCTCCTGTTTCCGTCTGTGTTTTTCTGGGCACTTGATGGTTTCGGGTTTTGCATGGAGATCCCCCATCCACCTTCAATGTCTATAAATCTTTTCGTGAGGTGACCCAGGAGTCAAGGTGGGGGTTTTTCCTTCTAACCAGCACTGTTGTTCCAATGACTTCTCTTCCCCCCTCACCTGACCTGGTGACTTGGTCACCAACCCACCGCCCTGCTGTGTGAGGAGCGCCTGGGAGCCATCCTGTTCTGTGTCTCACACTGAGGCCTGGTGCTCAGATGGACAGCCAGTCCGAGCGAAACGCTGGCCTTGAGTCCCGCGTCCTTCCTCGGGTTGTTTGGGTTATTCTGGGCCGTTTGTCTTTCCATGTGAACTTTCAAATCAAGCTCCTCAGGTTCTTCAGAGACGGTTTCCTGGGATTTTGACTTGGGTTTCGGCGAATCTGTAGGAAGGTTTTAACACCTAACAGTCCTGACTCTTCCAGCTGGGAATGTGGTCGCTCTGCTTCTCCTGGAGCCTCTTTGGTTTCTCTCCTCGGGAGTATGTCGTCGTTCCCAGTGGAGCGATCCTGCGTATCCTTCACAGATGCAGTCCTACTTGGTGCTTTCTTGTGCTGTTGAAATGTGGTTGTAAATTTGAGTGACTGGTTGCTTATTGCGAGGACATAGAAAAGGGTAAGCATGTTGTGTCTATAAAATGTATAAAGGTCACGTCTCACCCCAAGCACAGCGCCAGCTCTCGACTTAAACATTATGAAGGTCGCAGAGCGTTTTATCAGCCGGTCTTTGTGGGACAGGGAGCTGAAAAGTCAGGACTCTGGTCCATGATATTTTATTTTTTTATTGACTTTTTTGAGAGAGAGAGAGAGAGAGAGAGAGAAAGGGAGAGAGATAGAGAAATAGAAATGTCTATCAGAGAGAAGCAGCATCGAGCCCAAAACCCAAGCATGTGCCCTGACCAGGAATCAAACTGATGACCTCTTGGTTCATGGGTTGACCCTCAACCACTGAGCCACACTGGCCAGGCGAACTCTGGTCCAGCGGTCACCAACCGGTGGTCCCTGAGGTCCGAAAGGTTGGCGACCGCTGCCCTGGTCCGTGTTAAATGCAAATGACAACGAGGTTTTCAGGTTTTCCTCGATCACTCTGCTTTGAACATTTGCATCATTTTGTAAACAAAAGCATACTTAAGTATTTTTAAATGAGGTCAGGAGTCGCCCCTCCTAATTTTCTCTTGCATGGAGGTTACTGAACAAGTAACGCAACGAGTCCACTTTATAGAGCCATAGATTCATCTCACCTTCTCACACACCGGCCAGTGGCATGAACCAGTTCACAGAACTCTCCATTCTTGGTTTCCAAAGAGGGTGCCCATGTTGTGCACCTGGCCCGATGCTGCAACAAAACCGAGTTGGGAGTAGCAACCGTGTCCGTGTTTCAGTAACCCTCGCTCGTCGGGCTCCGTCTCTCCTCCGTGTAAACATGTCACGCACTGCATTTCTCCCCAGCTCGACGTCCCCGCTGCCCACGCTGAAGCGTGCGCTTACGGGACTGTTTCATTAAACCGCGCTGTCATCGGGTAATTGTTTTAAACAGCGCCACAGCACAGTCCAAAGGGAAGGTGAGCCCGTGGCATTTGCAAATGTCAGGGATTATCTTAACACTTTTATTACAGTTTATAAAAACGCAGGTCCAGGCCATTCTGTGGCAATTATTTCTACAGAAATTGGTTCTTTAAATAAATTGCTGATTATCTGAAGATGACAGTATTGAAAATGCTGCTAATGAGTGGATTAATCAGTGTAGCGTGTGGTGGCCACCTACAGGTGGGAAGCAGAAAGAACATAGAGACTAATTAGCTCCAGCTAGCACATATGAGTGCCATGTGTTTCCCCATCCAGTGACACGCTTACAGACATGTATTCCTTCATGCCAGCCTCTGAGTCCAGGACAATGTAGTTTATTTCTGCGTTTTTCATAAGATTGTGGTTTTGTTCTAAATCAAATTTCACTCTGCATTCATGATTACCTTTGTCCTATAACTCCTGGGTGTCATTGTCATTATAATTTATCAACCAAACTGGGACACTTTTAGAGTGAAAGAGAATGCTATTTATAATTATATCGTGTAATTATGAATAAATACAGGTATAATGAACTGGGACTTTCTCTCTCTAGGTCATATAGTTACAGCAATTACTAGCTACCATCACTTTAATATAATTCCTTGCCACTAATTAATACTAGAACACGAATATTCTTGGTTTTATCATACATGGACAACATATATTTATTAGTTATAAAGATTAACTCCTCTCTCTAACTTAATTTTACTAGCATTTAAAATAGGGAAGAAGTATGGCGTTGTGGTGAAGAGCATGGCATTGCAGAAATGAATCAACACTTTTTTACCTAAAAGAGTCAAACAATAGGAAATCTAGTTATCAAATAGAAAGTTCATCTTCATCCTATCCCCAGAGACAATAATAGTTTAACACTCGACCTTCTCTCTATTTGTGCGCCCACAGAGAATGTACACATACTTCTTCTAGCCACAGTGGGGCCACATCACGTAGATTGTTCTTTAATGTCTATCCCGGAGATATGGGCAGGCCCGTTTAAAGGTTCCCTAGGACGTCATACACGGACAAACTAGGATTTATTTGATAGCAAAACTATTGGGGATCGTGCAGGTGGCTCTCACGGTTTTGCTGTAAAAAACAACACTTCATGGAACATCTTTGCACATGCCACTCCGTATCTGTGCAAATGGAACAGATTTCTCAAAGCGGAGTCTCTGGGTGAAAGGGCTGTATCTGTAGATCCCGCAGTAGCACTCTAAACTGCGCATTACCCGCACAGACCGCCCTTATAATCACAGGCAAACTATGTGTTTTAAGAAATTAAATGACATGGGAATGGCAAGTTCCCCGAATTTAAAGTCTAGGAGGTTAACACCCTTGGGTGACACGTGTTTCTCCCCACACGTGTCTACGGCTGGATGCCCTTCCGATCCTTTTCTCCGGCTTTGAGAGCAGCAGCAGCCGGCGGCGTGAATGACCAGGCACCGTGCCAAGGGCTGTCCACAGATTGTGCCCTTTAATTGTCCGAGCTGCTCTGTATTGTTGTCGCGATGTCCCCTTTTCACAGGGAGGGAGGAGGGTGTCTTAGGAACGAAGGAGCTGGCTCAGTCACACTCGTGTGAGTGACAGAGAGCCGGGACTCACACCGAAGGGGCGGGACTGCATCCTGAGCTCTTAGCGTGGCCCCGGGCGGCCGATACCAGGTTCCTGGGGCGTGACAGCCCCCACGCACAGCGTCCTGCGGGTGGAATGACTGACACGGGCACAGGCAGCCCCCATCCCGGCGTCGGGCCCTCCATGGCCCAGGGCTCCGGGCCTTCCACTCCCAGCAGCAGGAAAAAGGCTTGAAGTAGTCGGCAAACGTGAAAACATTTTCACAGAACGTCGCAGCTTTTCCAGTAACCCTGCAAGGACAGCGACATACAGCTGCTCTTCTCCCTCCGCTTTCGTCTTCATGTCTCTACGTAGAAGCCTGGGTCCCCTTAGAGCCCCGGTTTGGGGTGAATTATGCTATTTTTCTAGAGGACTTTAGTTCCTGTGTAAAGATGTATTTTTAAACCGCTGAGTCTCACATACGTATCATTCTAGTAGGTTCATTACCACATTAAGCGCGAGTTAGTAAAATATACCATTGTTAGTACCTGATTTATCTGTATTGTATCAAAATCAAACTCGCAACTCCCAAATCCTTGAAATTCTTGATTTGCTAATATTCCTTCTGGATGATGCTACAACTCTTAACAATTAGACTGTCAAAGTTCAGTTTCTAACCAATTTGTTATCCACTTCATTCATTATATCTTAATTAATGTAAGCAAATTAAACTGCATTTTCTCTGTGTACACACAGCGAGCACGCGTGGGCGTTATGACCCAGTTTCTGCTTTCCTGCTACCTGGAGCCATTGACTGTGGATTTGTGTTGACGACAGTTGTGTAGCAGTGGCTGTCCCAGACATCACATGATGGGGGGCGGGGAGGGGGACAGAATTACACGCAATGACTAACCCTCCAGTGACCCAGCATCAGCATGTGTGCTACTCTCTGGCCCGCTGACTGTTTCTCTCCTCATCAAGGCCTCGTCATGCAAAGTGCAGCTCTGCTTCCCTTTCCCCCGGGGACTGGAGCTCTCATGTTGTCATGAACACCCGTGTCTGCCGGTTTACTGCATGGACCTTTGGATTCTCAAAGCTTTTTTTTTATGTATTCTTTTATTTATTTTATTATTGATACTATTACAGATGTCCCCCCACCCACCCCCCTTTAGCCACCTCTACCAGATTCTCAAATTTAAAAATATATATATATTGATGTTTGGCCTGCCAGCATGGCTCAGTGGTTGAGTATCAACCTATGAACCAGGAGGTCACAGTTGGATTCCCGGTCAGGACACATGCCTGGGTTGCAGGCTCCATCCCCAGTGTGGGGCGTGCAGGAGGCAGCCAATCCATGATTCTCTGTCATCGTTGATGTTTCTGTCTCTCCCTCTCCCTTCCTCTCTGAAATCAATAAAAATTAAAAAAATCAAAACATAAAAAAGACCCAGTGCCAGAATGTGCCACCCACATTCTTCTACACATCAGTGTAATAAATCCAGTTGCAACGTGCATCTATTTTTGTGCGAGGTTGCTATACCCACTTGTGTCCCACGTCTTCACGCCATCGTAGTATCAACGTTCCTAAAATAAACACGCCTCCTTTACAGACGGACATACTTGGGAACATAGCAGTGTGTGCCCGTTTCGTGTGGATAGCGCTTACACAGAGACAGGAACTCGGGCTCTGTCCAGCACAGGACGGCATAGCCAGTGGTCAGCGCGCTAACCATTGACCTCTCTCTCCTGCAGGCACGGCCATCAGGCCCATCGCCCTGAGAGCCGTGACCTCCATCGCGCGCGCCCTGCCCGGATTCCCCATCTTGGCCACGGGAGGGATCGACTCCGCCGAGAGCGGCCTTCAGTTCCTCCACAGCGGAGCTTCTGTCCTGCAGGTACCACTTCCCACCGCCCCTTCCCACGTCCTTCAGTGTTACCACGGGCTTCGTGTGTTTGACGTTTCCCCCCAAAGGCTCAGATCAGAGTCGCTGTTGGTGCCATCCTGAGTATTTCTCTTACAAGAAAAAGAAATTTCAGACCCGGAAACAACAGTTGACAGTCGGTTCCTCCTGCGTGCCTGCCTCCCTGAGCGTTTCCAACCACGGCACTTCGTTTCGTGCCCACAGTGCTGCTGGCGGTGTGCTGTCCCCGGTCCTGATCCGGCTTCCCAGTTACAGTTCTGAAACGATGCTGAGTTTTTAGCTGATGGTGACAATGGAGTTCTGGGGCGTGGCCACTCGTGTTTCTGGAGGGCCTCTCTCTCCGCCTTGCGCTTACGATCCTCCGATCCTTCTTCTGGCGCACACAAGCGAGACTTACAGATCGTTCCAGGCTGTCTGAAGACCGGTTCTTCTGACATGCGCTGCGTCTTCCTGCTTTGGAGCAGCGAGTTCTTTTTGCAATGACAGCAAGCCAGACCTTAGAGCAGCAGTTCTCAACCTGTGGGTCGCAACCCCTTTGGCGGTCGAACGACCCTTTCACAGGGGTCGCCTAAGACCATCCTGCATATCAGATATTTACATTACAATTCATAACAGTAGCAACATGACAGTTATGAAGTAGCAACGAAAATAATTTTATGGTTGGGGGTCACCACAACATATTAACTGTATTAAAGGGTCGCGGCATTAGGAAGGTTGAGAACCACTGCCTTAGAGCCTTGTGACCCGGTGCTTACTCCCGTGTGTGCACAAGCCTATTTACCGTCAGCCTCATGCTTGGTCGTCACCCCACAACTGAGTCACAGCAAACCGGGCCCTCCGAGGTGACCTTCTTCTGAGGAAACCCAGTCCTCACGTTGGTCGTGCTGTTTCTTTGCATCATGTGTGTGTGCGTGTGTGTGTGCGTGTGCCTGTGTGTGTGTGTGCGTGTGTGTGCGTGTGTGTGTGTCGTGGCATCAGAGTTATAGTTCAGGTTTGGAGACAAAGACGTGCGTTGTTACAGATTCTAATTACAAGTTAAAAGTCATCTCACTGTAGGAAATTAAAAATGGGGACAATTAGAGAAACATTCCAGTTGAAAGAAAAATGCATTCTGGGAAAAAGCAAAAGCCCCCCAGATAGGAAAGCAAGCTCCCTTCTCAGCAGCCCGGTGAGGCCAGGGCGGGTCAGTGGCGCGCAGCTACTGTGTTGCGGGGAGAGCATTAATTCGCAGTTATGGAATGGTCGGCTCCTCCACGGCCGACCATTGACACACTGACCTTTTGCTGGGAAATTCTGTGGTCGTTATTTTTTTTTAAATATATTTTTATTGATTTCAGAGAGGAAGGGAGAGGGAGAGATAGAAACATCAGTGATGAGAGAGAATCATGGATCAGCTGCCTCCTGCACGCCCCACAGTGGGGATGGAGCCCGCAACCCGGGCCTGTGCCCTGCCCGGTATTTGAACTGTGACCTCCTGGTTCCTAGGTCGATGCTCAACCACTGAGCCACACCAGCCTGGCTCCATGGTCATTATTTTAAGTGGAGCAACACAAAGGCAAAAGGAAAGTGTAGGGCCCGTTCAGGCACAGGCATCACTCCCCACACACAGGGGGGGCCTTTGCACTGCGTCCCCAAATAGTCACGTGATGGAGCAGACTGAGCCTGCGCAGCGGCGTGGATGTGATGAGCCTGTTGGTGGCAGAATGATGCTGGGGGAACGACAAATGCCCCCAATGAAGCATAAAATGAAGCAGACCTTTCCTAAACCTGCTACCGCCAGGGAAGTCATGAGAGACTGGCTCACATGAGTGTGTTAAACATGCACGCGGAGTCGCCCAGGGGTACAGTTTCATGTCCCAAAGCCACACGTTGTTTTTTAAAATATATTTCTATTGATTTCAGAGAGAGAGGGAGAGGGAGAGGGCGGGGGGGGGGAGAGAGAGAGAGAGAGAGAGAGATATCAATGATGAGAGAGAATCACTGATCGGCTGCCTCCTGCATGCCCCCTACCAGGGACCGAGTCTGCAACCTGGGTTTGTATGTTTTTAAATAAGGTAAATAAAAGTCTCCTAAACATTTCCCTCCTAAGGCAAAGCAATCCTGAATGTATTAGCCTTTAAAAACATGCTTATCCATTTGTTTCCCTAACTGGTCTTCTTCAGATATTCAGGAAATAGTGCCTTTCTGTTGCGTTTAGTGGTCGGGTCTCCCATCCGTTTAATGATTTTGTGGCTCCTGGATCCTTCGAAGCTTTCAGACCCCATTCCCGGAGCTTGAAGCATGCAGAGTCTCAGTGAAACACCTCCCACCCCACCCCCTGTTCACTGACCCCGCCCACAAAACCAGGAAAGAAAGACAACAGTTGCTGTTGGCCTCATTGGTTCAATCTGACAGATCTGAACCAAGCACCTAAACTCGTCGTGGAGTTAAAATTTGGGGCGTGCAAACAGAAGCCTTCATTATCCCCAAATCAGTTACGCTGTGTTTGTAAGACAAAGGAAGGTAATCTGACAGATCAGAATGTGTCAGGCCTGCTCCCGGTAGCTGGCCCCAACCCACAGCGACAGACCCGTCAGCTGTTAGCATAGTTAGCGCGTTTCCTGGTGGGGAACACGATGGGGTTCCGGCTGTCATGCTTTAAGGGCAGGAGCCGTATCTCATTATCGTCTCCCCCAGTCAGTCAGCGCAGCCGGGATATTAACTCCACCCTCATGCCACCCGGCGCCGTCACGTGCAGGCGGGGAGAGCAACGTCCCATGACTCCGCAGTGACGCCGCTGCAAATCTCCCCACGGGGAGCTCGCGTGGCCGGACCCCCCAGGCCTCGCGCCGCCCTGGTCCTGCAGAGGCGAGCTGAGAACAGCGGTGCACACTCACAGGCCTGATGCTTCCGAAACACTCGCAGTGAACACGAGCAGTCGAGAGAGAGTTTAGAAAGCAAGGCCGCTGCAGTGCACGGTAGAGCGTGACATGATGAGGTCATTTCCCGGGGACCAGTGTCAGCATAGAAGCCATCGCTTCGTTTACAGCGTGACATTTCATAGACAAGACTGGAGAGGAAAAGCACATGCAATCCACTTACCTGCATCGACCGGATTTAGCTTTTCTTTAACTCATACTCATAGTCTAAGTCATCATTTATTCGAAGCCCGTGGTCCGTAGGTTGGTGGGGAGGAGGTGGGATAATCGGGTTTGAGTTCCTTCTCGAAGGCCGAGCGACTGAAACGATCCCTTCTCGGCCGGCACATCCCGGCTCCTGCGCGCACCGGTGTGTGATGAGCTAATTGTTTACAACGTCAGAGCCGGCGTTTTATCCCAGGGCTCCGCGTGGTTCCACATGGAGACGCACAGTGAGGAGCTGGGGAAGTTCTCGCCTGTGAGCGAGCCCCCGGGCTCACCTGCGGGCACCGGCAGCCCTCCCTGGCTCCTCTCCCCCCGCCCCCCACCAGCTCTCGGAGATCTGGAAACAGGTCCCCGGGCTATGCAGGCGGCTTGTCTGAGAGAAGGAGGGGGTGACCCAGAGGCCTGGCTCAGAAAGGAGGGTCTGTGGATGAGAGAATAGATGGACGCATGGGTCGCTTTTGAGAAATAAAGGCTTTTTTGAAGAGATGATGTTTTAAAATTGCCTATTGAGCCCGGCCGGCGTGGCTCAGTGGTTGAGCGTCAACCTATGAACCAAGGGGTCACAGTTCGATTCCCAGTCAGGGCTCAGGCCCGGGTTGTGGCCTCGATCCCCATTGGGGGGCGTGCAGGAGGCCGCTGATGGATGATGATTCTCATCACTGATGGTTCTCTCCCTCCCTCTCCCTTCCTCGCTGAGATTAATGAAAATATATATATGTTTAAAAAGAGCACACGGAGGGGGTGGAGACCTCCGTTCTTCCCCGCCTGGGACCCCCGGGCTCATCCGCAGTTGGGAGGCACCAAGCCTCGTTCCCAAGCGGTTCCGTCAGCGCCGCTTGGCTGAGCTCCCGCATCCCATCCCCGCGCCCTGTCTGTGCAGTAAGAGAACCGTGGCTTTTGTATCTTCTCCCTGAACATCATCAGGCCCCTGGGTGCTGGGAGGACACTCTGACCACCAGGCATACGGGCCAGAGCCAACGTCCTTCCCCCTGTTGTGCCAATGTGCCTCCTTGGAAATTCCGCCCTTGGGTCTCATTTGGAGCAGCCCCCGCGGTGTCCCTGCGCCCAGCACACGGCACAGACCCCAGGTGTGCAGTCTGGTGTGTCACGTTGGCTGATATTCCTCGGTTGTGCAAGTTCTGGTGCCGTGGCCGCCCCTCCCCACCCCTCCCCACCCACCTGCAGGCACAGGTGAACCTGGTGGAGGAGATGAGAGCGGGGCGTGGGGCGAGCTCGGGTCTGACGCGCCCGTTGTCTCCCCAGGTGTGCAGCGCCGTCCAGAACCAGGACTTCACGGTGATCGAGGACTACTGCACGGGCCTGCGCGCCCTGCTCTACCTGCGGGCCATCGAGGAGCTGCAGGACTGGGACGGGCAGAGCCCAGCCACCCCGCGCCACCAGAAGGGGAAGCCGGTCCCTCGCATCGCTGAACTCGTGGGAAAGGTAGGTGCCCACCTCTCCCGGTGGCCCCAGGCCTGTGCCCGCTCACGCCCCGTCAGGTCTCGGTTCCCTGGCACCGTCTTGGGCACAGAAAGCCCAGTCCCCCGTGGGGTGTGGTTTCCACAGGAGAATCGTGCCGAAGAGGCCTGGTTTCAGCGACGCCACGGTTCCCAGACGTACTTTTTTTGTTGTTAATCCTCACCCAAGGGTATTTTTTTCACTAATTTCTAGAAAGAGAGTGGAAGGGAGGGAGGAGGGGGAGAGACAGACACATGGATTGGGAAACCTGTAACCCAGGTACGTGCCTTTGACCGGGAAATGAGCCGGTCGCTGGCGCTCTAACCACTGAACAACCAGCCAGGCCCCAGCTTATATTTTATAAAACCAATACAACAAAGTCCTATAAAAGAGAAAGACAGGAGTGTGTGCGTGTGAGTGTGTGCACGTGTGAGAGTGTGTGTGTGCGTGCGTGTGAGTATGTGTGTATGTGTGTGTGTGAGTGTGTGTGTGAGTGTGTGTGTGTGTGTGTGTGTGTGTGTGTGTGTGTGTGTGAGAGAGTGTGTGTGTGTGTGTGTGTGAGAGTGTGTGTGTGATGCCTCCGAATCTGCGCTGACTGTGGCGATGGCTGCCGTCCCCCCTGGAGGTCTCTTTATTCTTCATGAGCTCTGGCAAGAATCCCCTCCGCTCTCTGTTTGCAAGATAATCAAATCCCTGGGGCCAGGGAGGCCGTGAGGAAGTTTTTAAAATTAAAATCACATCAGTGTCTTTGTAGCTGCCTCTGCCGTGTGGTCAGACCTCGGCTCCAAAGGTCGTGCCCCCCATTCCTCCCTCACTGCTGTTTTCCGAGAAACTATCCTACGTTTACATTTTGCATAATACGGTGGTTTTAGCAGGTCTGGTCTAAAACCACATGCCGCTTCCGCCTCTGTTCCCTTTGTGTTCCCCTGAATAGACAACCATCGTCAAAGACATTTCTCCAGCCCAACGAGGGGAGGGAAAAATGATCATTCGTCGTCTTTTCAGCTTGTCACCACATCAATAATTATCTTTAAGGAAGCATTTAATAATTCAAATGGATCTTAACTTGAAACAGGTCACATGAAAAAGAATGAGAAATATCAGCCCGCAGCTCCGCCCGGGAGGCAGGGCTGGGGACGCCAAGGGGAGAGAGACCTCCCCGCACCGGCTTCCGGGAAGGGCACCGCGTCTGTCCTCGCAGGCGGCCGGGGGAGCGGCTTCTTAGAGCAGGACCGGCCGGCTGCCAGGAGGGCGATGAGACCGAAAGGGAGAGAGAAGGCACGTTGTCTGTGGGCTCGGGGAACAGGGCTGCGGGGCCCGTGCGTGGCAGCCACGCAGAGGCTGCGGGACGTGAACCTTTACAATATGGTAATTAGCGAGACTGAGCCCACGCAGGATCACACACTGAGGTGCAGACGTGGACGGGCCTGTTCTTGCCTTATCAGTGGCCGTCCACACCCGGGGGCTGTTCCTCACTAAGAAAAACTCCTAAGTAGTGTCACGCCCGCTCAGGGGGATCTGTTTCCGCCGTGATGCCGTGGATGGGTGAGGGCCGTCTGTGCAGGCGCCGTCTGGAGTTCAGTGGGCGTGGGGGGGGGGGGGGGGGCTCTGTGCCGCTGGTCTCAGAAGGACTGGCGCCCTCGGGTCCAAGCCCGCGTGTTCGCGTGTGCAGCAGAGGGTGGAGGTGATGGAGACACTCGGGTCGGCGGCAGGGGTGGAACTGGATGTTCCGTCCCTGGGATCTCAGCGCAGACTTTGTTTGTAAGCCGAGCCTCCATCGGAGTAGTTCAGTGTCGTTTTTGGCATGATCACATGTTTAACGTGTTTAAAGGTGGCGACGGTGTGATTAGATTCGCGGTTCGTTTCTCAGCCCTGGGAGGAGGCGCAGGCAGATGGTCGGTGATAGGTCTGTGCTCCTGGCTTCCCTGTGTGGCTGACAGGCCTGTGGCCCTGGGTGACGGGCCCCTTTGGTGCACGTTCCTGACAGTGAATCCAGGCCCCCCTGGGCCCAGGTGCAGGGGTGTGTGTATGTGGAATGGCAGAGCCGTGGGGTCCATTAGCAATGCCTGCACGGGCCTGAACTAGCAGAGGTGTGGGGTCCATTAGCAATGCCTGCACGGGCCTGAACTAGCAGAGGTGTGGGGTCCATTAGCAATGCCTGCACGGGCCTGAACTAGCAGAGGTGTGGGATCCATTAGCAATGCCTGCACAGACCTGCACTAGCAGAGAGAGTGGATCCATTAGCATTGCCTGCACGGGCCTGAACTAGCAGAGGTATGGGATCCATTAGCAATGCCTGCACAGACCTGCACTAGCAGTGGTGTGGGGTCCATTAGCACTGCCTGCACAGACCTGCACTAGCAGTGGTGTGGGGTCCATTAGCACTGCCTGCACAGACCTGCACTAGCAGTGGTGTGGGGTCCATTAGCACTGCCTGCACAGACCTGCACTAGCAGTGGTGTGGGGTCCATTAGCACTGCCTGCACAGACCTGCACTAGCAGTGGTGTGGGGTCCATTAGCACTGCCTGCACAGACCTGCACTAGCAGTGGTGTGGGGTCCATTAGCACTGCCTGCACAGACCTGCACTAGCAGTGGTGTGGGGTCCATTAGCACTGCCTGCACAGACCTGCACTAGCAGTGGTGTGGGGTCCATTAGCATTGCCTGCACGGGCCTGAACTAGCAGAGCTGTGGGATCCATTAGCAATGCCTGCACAGGCCTGAACTAGCAGAGGTGTGGGATCCATTAGCAATGCCTGCACAGACCTGCACTAGCAGAGTGTGGGATCCATTAGCAATGCCTGCACAGACCTGCACTAGCAGAGGTGTGGGGTCCATTAGCATTGCCTGCACGGGCCTGGACACAAGAGCACAGGTTGCACAGTGTGACTTGCCACTTCCCGAGTGGGTTCGTCTTGGACCTGGGCAGCTGCTGACCCTGTAACCTGCAGCTGCCTCGTTGACACGCTGTAAACCATGCGGCATTGGCCCTGTTCTGCCAGCATCCCATCATGCTTTTCAAAACGATGATTCCTCATTCCTCCTCGCTCATGACATTGACATCTAACTGACAAGTGCAAATGGCATTATTTCTGTTGTCATCTTCACAAAGGTGAGTGGGGAGGCATAATTCCTTGCACTTCATCAAATATACTACTTTAATCAAAATGCACCTTATTCATATTAATTCTGTACTTAGAACTTGTACAAAGTGCTTTTCTTCTTACGCATAACTTACCCACATTAATCCTGCTGTTACTTTTAAGCTGGAAAAAGAGAAAAACAGGATTTTTTTTTCTTGTTCTGGGTGGGGATTGAGGATCCATAAAGAAACCATTGCTGTGGCATGTCAGATAAGATTTGAATTCCAATCCCGTCCTCGAACTCATCCGCTACCCTCCCTCCGAAGAACTCTGTAAAATCAGCCACGCTTACTGCCAGCCAGCCAGCTCTGCTCCTAATCCCGATTTTATGGAGAAAGGCAAAACCTCTCTTGGTAATTCTGAGCTATGCCCTGAGATTCTCCCTGGAAAGATATGTATTTGTTATATTTCTGCCTGAGCCCATCTGCCCACTTGAATAAAAGGAGCATTAGGTAAAAAGATAATAATTTTCTGGTAAGTCAAGGAGTCAAAAGAGTCATTTTGATCCTGTAGAGCGTCAGCACAAACTCTAATCCTATTCAGCTCTTTGCCAATTTGTCCTCATCTAAGATCTGAGAAAAAATTAAATGTCCACTATTTGAGATTTAAAAAGGGGATCTGTTTTACCAAAAGAAAAGAGAGAAAAATCAAACAAACCGTCATGAGGTGTTGTTACTGGCTTTCACATGACATGGACCGTGACTGCTATTGAACAGTTTACCAAGATGCTGGCATCTTAGGAAGACGGGGCCGAGAGGGCCTCAGCTGCGGGCTAGCGGGCAGCGCCACAGGTACCCACGCAGCTCGCTGTCCGCGCGGGATGGCACTCCTGTCCTCCTCCTCAGAAACCGGATGCTGTCTGGTTGCCCATAGCGACCTGGCCATCGTCCTCGTTTCCAACTCTCCCCTCTCGTCTGTGCTGTGGAGATGCTGGGACGCAGGTATGTTAGCCCTGAGCCGTCGCCTGAGCCAGTGTGTGCCCGCGGTCCCAGGCGGCCCCAGCCATGTGTCCGAGGAACTGTGACGGCCCCCCGCCTGCACAGAGAACCTGGGTCACGGCCCCGGGCCTGTTGGAGACGCTGCCCGCAGCCCTCACCATCCCCCCCCCCCCCTAATCCTCACACCCCGTCCGTTCTGACCTGCACGGCGCCCAGCTAACCCGTCCAGACCGTGCCTTGTGACACGTCGTGGCCAGACCTCCTTAAAGCACCTTGCTCGTCTTCCCTCTCTATCGACGTTACCCCATTTCGTCTCAAACTGTAGAACCTTCTAGAATCTAGATCCTCTGCGGGCAGTTTTCTCTGCATGTGCCCAGCCCAGCTGAGCTCCCCAGTGTCCGCCGTCATTTCGGGGCCATCAGCAGGTCCTCCTTCAGAACGTCAGGGTCCCCGAGTCCTTCTTCCGGTGGCGCCGTAAGCACGAGGCATCTTCCTCTCACAGCTCAGGTGCTGGGGGACCGTCTCGACTCCCGGCCTCTTGTTTCTAACTCGCCTGTTGGCCCATCAGTCAGATTTCTTCCCACCCCCACCCCCGTCACCGAAGCGGCTCTCGCTAAAGTTACCGGTGACTGAGTGGTCCCAAATCCGTAGTGTCCTCACTAGGGATGGTTGCTGTGGTCAACCACTGACTGCTCCATCATCATGTGAAATTTCTTCTTTGATTTTTAAAACTCTCTTTGCTTCCAGTTCCTCCCTCACCTTTTAGCACCTACTGTGTACCAGGCATTGTAGATGCAAATATGAGTGACGATCACAGCCTTCCCGCCAAAGGATCCCAGACGAGCGTGGAAGCGGAGCAGTTAGAGAGGGATTTATGCCGCAGCGCGACGATTACACGTAGGTG